CATTTATTGATTGATACACCGCTAGATAAATCGTATAAATACCCACAAGTTTGGATTTATTCGATGATATAATCGAACACATAGCTCCAGCATAGTATCTTATTTGTAACAAGTGTCCCTCACTAGCAAACACAGATTTGTAGATCAGAAATTTATGTTTCGACTATAAGTGAAACTTCTGTCACAGATAAACCATGGAAGGTCTGGTAATCCTGGAGGCTCTGTCACGAATGAACCATGGAAGGTCTGGTATTCCTGGAGGCTCTGTCACGGATAAACCATGGATGGTCTGGTAATCCTGGAGGCTCTGTCACGGATACCCCATGGAAGGTCTGGTAATCCTGGAGGCTCTGTCTCGGATAAACCATGGAAGGTCTGGTAATCCTGGAGTCTCTGTCACGGATAAACCATGGAAGGTCTTGTAACCCTGGAGGCTCTGTCACGGATACACCATGGAAGGACTGGTAATCCTGGAGGCTCTGTCACGGATAAACTATGGAAGGTCTGGTAATCCTGGAGGCTCTGTCTCGGATAAACCATGGAAGGTCTGGTAATCCTGGAGGCTCCGTCACGGATAAACCATGGAAGGGCTGGTAATCCTGGAGGCTCTGTCAAGGATAAACCATGGAAGGTCTGGTAATCCTGGGGGCTCTGTCACGGATAAACCATGGAAGGTCTTGTAACCCTGGAGGCTCTGTCACGGATACACCATGGAAGGTCTGGTAATCCTGGAGGCTCGGTCACGGATAAACCCTGGAAGGTCTGGTAATCCTGGAGGCTCTGTCACGGGTAAACCATGGAAGGTCTTGTAATCCTGGAGGCTCTGTCACGGATACACCATGGAAGCTGTCACGGATAAACCATGGAAGGTCTGGTAATCCTGGAAGCTCCGTCACGGATAAACCATGGAAGGTCTGGGAATCCTGGAGGCGGAGAGGGTCGTGATATGGGTGTGTTGCATGATTTTGCACGTGCCTTGCTTCGTTTTAACGTATCTTTTCATAAAGGCTCTGTCACGGATAAACCATGGAAGGTCTGCTAATCCTGGAGGCTCTGTCACGAATAATCCATGGAAGGTCTGGTAATCCTGGAGGCTCCGTCACGGATAAACCATGGAAGGGCTGGTAATCCTGGAGGCTCTGTCACGGATAAACGATGGAAAGTCTGGAAATCCTGGAGGGTCTGTCACGGATAAACCATGGAAGGGCTGGGAATCCTGGAGGCTCTGTCACGGATAAACCATGGGAGGTCTGGGAATCCTGGAGGCGGAGAGGGTCGTGATATGGTTGTTTTGCATGATTTTGCACGTGCCTTGCTTCGTTTTAACGTATCTTTTCATAAAGGCTCTGTCACGGATAAACCATGGAAGGTCCGGTAATCCTGGAGGCTCTGTCACGGATAAACTATGGAAGGTCTGGTAATCCTGGAGGCTCTGTCCCGGATAACCCATGGAAGGTCTTGTAATCCTGGAGGCTCTGTCACGGATAAACCCTGGAAGGTCTGGTACTCCTGGAGGCTCTGTCACGGATAAACCATGGTAGGTCTGGTAATCCTGGAGGCTCTGTCACGGGTAAACCATGGAAGGTCTTGTAATCCTGGAGGCTCTGTCACGGATAAACCCTGGAAGGTCTGGTACTCCTGGAGGCTCTGTCACGGATAAACCATGGGAGGTCTGGGAATCCTGGAGGCGGAGAGGGTCGTGATATGGGTGTGTTGCATGATTTTGCACGTGCCTTGCTTCGTTTTAACGTATCTTTTCATAAAGGCTCTGTCACGGATAAACCATGGAAGGTCCGGTAATCCTGGAGGCTCTGTCACGGATAAACGATGGAAAGTCTGGAAATCCTGGAGGGTCTGTCACGGATAAACCATGGAAGGGCTGGGAATCCTGGAGGCTCTGTCACGGATAAACCATGGTAGGTCTGGTAATCCTGGAGGCTCTGTCACGGATAAACTATGGAAGGTCTGGTAATCCTGGAGGCTCTGTCTCGGATAAACCATGGAAGGTCTGGTAATCCTGGAGGCTCCGTCACGGATAAACCATGGAAGGGCTGGTAATCCTGGAGGCTCTGTCACGGATAAACACTGGAAGGTCTGGTAATCCTGGAGGCTCTGTCTCGGATAAACCATGGAAGGTCTGGTAATCCTGGAGTCTCTGTCACGGATAAACCATGGAAGGTCTTGTAACCCTGGAGGCTCTGTCACGGATACACCATGGAAGCTGTCACGGATAAACCATGGAAGGTCTGGTAATCATGGAGGCTCTGTCACGGATAAACCATGGAAGGGCTGGGAATCCTGGAGGCTCTGTCACGGATAAACCATGGAAAGTCTGGTAATCCTGGAGGCTCTGTCACGAATAAGCCATGGAAGGTCTGGTAATCCTGGAGGCTCTGTCCCGGATAACCCATGGAAGGTCTTGTAATCCTGGAGGCTCTGTCACGGATACACCATGGAAGGTCTGTTAATCCTGGAGGCTCTGTCACGGATAAACCATGGAAAGTCTGGTAATCCTGGAGGCTCTGTCACGGATATACCATGGAAGGTCTGGTAATCCTAGAGGCTCCGTCACGGATAAACCATGGAAGGTCTGATAATCCTGGAGGCTCCGTCACGGATAAACCATGGAAGGGCTGGTAATCCTGGAGGCTCTGTCACGGATAAACCATGGAAGGTCTTGTAATCCTGGAGGCTCTGTCACGGATACACCATGGAAGGTCTGGTAATCCTGGAGGCTCTGTCACGGATAAACCATGGAAGGTCTGGTAATCCTGGAGGCGGAGAGGGTCGTGATATGGTTGTGTTGCATGATTTTGCACGTGCCTTGCTTCGTTTTAACGTATCTTTTCATAAAAAAAACTATTTTTGTTCCGTTTCTTTAAAATTATTTTTATACTTTGAAATTTTATTGTGGAACATTATCTTTTTATAAATTATATTTATATTGTCCATTCAGCTTTGTTCAATAAAATGGATATTTGTTTGTCCTCATACGCTTAGTTCATTATATATTAATCAAATTTCATCAACCATTGGCAGTCTGTCTTACATCTACGGCCATACATGGTTTGTAATCATATTTACAACGTAAACAGCATCGATCTTATGAAGTTTTCAAGCAGGTTGTAAAAATGCCCGTAAGTGCACTAGCTATGCTTGTCATTGATTATTGATTAATGTAAGTAGTGACATGTAAATTTTAATGTACAGATTAAAACATTCGTTGCGAATAATGATAGATTTTGACAGTTACAGACCACATCTAGGGGAAAAAACATCTGCAATAAATATATACGGTATTTTATGAATATGCACTTCATGTAGGGGAACGGTGATGAACGTTTACATAGAATATACAATTCATTTTGTAATTCAGTTTCATACATCCCATAGTAATTAAGTTTTATGTACACTAGATCGTTTTATAACAATCCTAACGAAATCCCCACCATCACTAACGTTATGGCGATGTACATTTTACATGTAATGAAATAACCCTACTGACCGTTCGATAACGCCTTTATCGCCGTGTCTTGCCCCTGGGGACATAACAAGGTTCTACGATAGTATAAAGAATATATATACATTTAACTAGACCCATCAATCAGATTTTTTTGTGTGTTACAACTGCTTAAATATACAGGGCCATAGTGAAAGGATGACGCTTTAAGGCATCATCTTTATACAACAGAAAACAACACCTTCACTCCCTAACAAGACAGATGAAATCTACATACATATAAATAATTCTGTCAAATATGTTATATACACTGCCAAATACATATTTCTAGTGTCCTGTTTCCTTCCTGTTGTCACTTTTGTCAAAAAAACCCAGGTTCCTATATAATTTTACTGTTGTCCGTGATTTTACATATATAAGGATATCAGTTGTTGTTCAAACGCGTTGATTCAACGTTTACGAATACACCGAGTCTTCGCCCTGCTGGCCATTTGCAAAGCAAGCATTTTCTTCAATAACCCACGAAAGCTATTTTTTAAATACATCGATATTCTTCCATAAAACCCCCCCAAATGATCACTTTGCATCCGCTTGAGAATAATTAGCCCAACACTATCGTCTGTTCACGTGAACATTCCTGGAGCAATGTACCAGATGCTACATTACGATAGAGGTGGTGATTGATACTGTCGAAAGTGGCCGAAGGTTATGTATAGTGATTGAACATCATTGTATAATGAGGTGCTGAACCTCGTTTCTTTTCTATCGAGAGATGAAAATATGTCCTCGAATAATTTGTTGACGGACAAATGATTTGGCAGTCACACTGCCATGTTTTCTAAAACCTATAATATGTTACTACAATTCATAACACAATATGTATGAGTATTTTTTTTTATTTCTGTTAATTTGTTTTGTTTGTTGTAGTTTTACATTTTTGCAACAGCTAAGGTCATCTGACCAACGTTCTAAGCATATAACTGATGGGAAGAATATCATTTTGAAGAAGGATATATACATGTACGTATGATGTGAATTAAGAGAAATTGCCTCGTTTTGTAAACATTTGCCATATCCCATTGTAACTTCTGTGGCAACTAAAAACTAAGCTGAATTAGGAGAAAATGCATATATCATTACTAGTAACAATTTGGTGCCGAAATCGTATAACACACAGTGTAAATAGAATCACGCTTACCAAATTCTGATTATCTGGAGAACATGCTTTTAATGAGTTTGTAAAAAGGTGTTCGGAACATATAGCTCACTGTATATCATTCTAGGGGCTCGATGTAACTATAAAATATACAACTGTACACATGTTTTTAAGTCACACGCATCCTCTTATGGTGTTGTTTTCAGTGCAGGTGAGTACTTTTCACAATATACTCTACAACGTGATTAGTAAATTCGTTTTTGTCTGTAGTTTTGGAAAATTAGTTTTGTTTTAGTTCTCACCTGTACGATGAGTGATACGGTCTCATTGATTGAGTCACACATGCATGAAAAAACATGTAAATAAACAAGTTTATACACTTACCTAGAGCGAAGAACAGGAATAGAAGCACACATAGAGAACTTAAAACAATCCACCAGCGATGTTTAGTCAGAAGACGGCGGGAGACACAGCGTGTCCTCATACTCCTAGTGCTCCGGACAATCTCGGACAGTCCGGTCAGAGAGGATTGGACACTACATCAAGACTGGACACTGTCGGCCACACGAGAATCATTGCACTACATGTACACTGGCGGAGGTGTGCATCAGGCCTTGTACGTACAGCAGTGCTCCTACACCTTCTCAGTCTCTGTCCTGGACACGACAGACAAAGACAGGTACCATTCATCACAGCCTAGGGAGGCCCAGGGCGGGATATCCCAACGCATAACAATCTGGACACCGCCCATAAGGCCCAAGGCGGGAAATATAAAAACTTAGCACCTGATGAAACACAACAATACGCATGACCTTTCCATAGCAGTTATCATTATGTAAATCTCTGTAGCGGATATGAAGATAATACAAATTGTACATATACTAATATTCTAATATCAATCTATGTTAAAAGTATGTGCTTCAGCTAGGATCGTTAAACGTCGATAACGAATGTTAACGAAAGATGCTACAAATATAAATGAACATTTGTTTTATTTACCCTCACGACAGATCCTGCTAGGCAATATAATGTAAACACAATACCTTTGTCAACCCTCTAAGTAGACAATGATTATAGGAGTCGATACGTGTTACAGACTAAACAACATATTGAAAAGAATATAATGCAAACAGCTTCATGAAAATTCCTGATGAAAGGGCTACTAAATGTTCAATAAAGCTAAGTTCAACGTAATTCGATGATATTATGATGTTATTTGTGTTGACTTCGTTTTTGATCTGGTTGGTGTTGCAGACGTTTGTGATCCTCTGGCTTGTGTTGTAGACAATTGTGATCTCATGGTTTATGTTGTAGACGTTTTTGATCGTTTGGTTTATGTTGTAAACGTTTTTGATCGTTCAGTTTGTGTTTTTTTTACGTTTGTGATTTTCTTGTTTGTGTTGTAGAGATTTGTGATCTCATGTTTGTGTTGTAGACGTTTGTAATCACATTGTGTATACTTATAGAAGTTCGTTATCTTCTAGTTTGTGTTGCAGACGTTTGTGATCTCATGGTTTATATTGTAGAAGTTTGTTATCTACTTGTTTGTGTTGTAGACAATTGTGATCTCATGGTTTGTATTATAGACGTTTTTGATCGTCTGATTTGCGTTTTTGTACGTTTGTTATCCTCTGGTTTGTGTTGTAGAAATTTGTGATCACATGGTTTATATTGTAGAAGTTTGTTATCTCCTGGTTGGTGTTATAGACGTTTGTGATCTCATGGTTTGTGTTGTATTCGTTTTTGATCGTCTGATTGTGTTTTTGTACGATTGTTATCCTCTGGTTTGTGTTATAAAAGTTTGTGATCACATGGTTTATATTGTAGAAGTTTGTTATCTCTTGGTTGGTGTTATAGACGTTTGTGATCACATGGTTTGTGTTGTGTTCGGTTTTGATCGTCTGATTTGTGTTTTGTTACTTTTGTTATCCTCTGGTTTGTGTTGTAGAAACTTGAGATCACATGGTTTATATTGTAGAAGTTTGTGATCTCCTGGTTGGTGTTATAGACGTTTGTGATCACATGGTTTGTGTTGTGTTCGGTTTTGATCGTCTGATTTGTGTTTTGTTACTTTTGTTATCCTCTGGTTTGTGTTGTAGAAACTTGAGATCACATGGTTTATATTGTAGAAGTTTGTTATCTCCTGGTTGGTGTTATACACGTTTGTGATCACATGGTTTATATTGTGGAAGTTTGTTATTTCTTGGTTGGTGTTATAGACGTTTGTGATCACATGGTTTGTATTGTAGAAGTTTGTTATCTCCTGGTTGGTGTTAAAGACGTTTGTGATCACATGGTTTATATTGTAGAAGTTTGTTATCTCGTGGTTGGTGTTATAGACGTTTGTGATCACATGGTTTGTATTGTAGAAGTTTGTTATCTCCTGGTTGGTGTTATATAATTTGTGATCACATGGTTTATATTGTAGAAGTTTGTTATCTCCTGGTTGGTGTTATAGACGTTTGTGATCACATGGTTTATATTATAGGAGTTTGTTATCTCCTGGTTGGTGTTATAGACAATTGTGATCATCTGGCTTGTATTGTAGACGTTTGGGATCTCATGGTTTGTGTTGTAGATGTTTGTGATCCTCTGGCTTGTGTTTTAGACGTTTGAGATCTCATGGTTTGTGTTGTAGACGTTTGTGATCCTCTGGCTTGTGTTTTAGATGTTTGAGATCTCATAGTTTGTGTTGGTTTAAACTTTGTTTTATTCAAATTTGATTGGCAATACATCGAAATACATGTTTTATAAAACAGAAAAGGAAACAAAAACAAGTGTCGTGACACTTATGTAAATTTGTTACCTGCTAAGTGATCAGCTTTTCAACACTAGCTACAAGAATGAAGTAATATGTACAATAGAATAATTCCGGGAATAGGGGAGGGGGTAATGGATTGGTATGCAGTGGAAACCAGGAATGAATAACATATCAATATACATATGATCATCAGATGGTAATATCATATTGCTCTATTGCGATGAGTATGTGGAACACGGTTCTGTAAAATATAACAATGGAATAGTAGATGGAAATGTCAGCAGTCCTGTAAGTGGACACTCGAAAAAGGTTAAAATGTATATACAAATTACATAGAATAAATCACCACTAAATCAACTATTGACAAAATTAGTATGTCACAAAGCACCGCCATGATTATTAAAAACGTTGCAGTTCACATACTAGCCATCACACTTATCAAATAAAAAAGTCCATAAAACACTTTCCCGCCTCGTCCCTTGTACGTCCTGCTCTTTCAAGGTAACACATCACTTTTATCAAACAATCATAATCATGGCGAGTTAGTGACATAATATGGTATAAAGAAATGCAATGGCAAAATCACTGTATAAGCATATAAGTCCAAATACATTTTAAAACATAGTAGTAAAACGAATGCAACACAACATACATATATATATACATATGTCAAAATGAAATTGTTAAGGACTATTCGTTTATTTGAAATCTTTTAGTTTTTAGTATATAATTTTGGACGGCTAGAAAAATCGTAGTGTTATCTTGATGGGTTAGAGAGTCATCACCAAAGATTAAAAGATTAGTTGATAGTTGATAGGGCAAACTCAGAATATGAAGCTGTCTAAGTGCTGTATATTTTAAGACATTTTAGCAAATAATGTGTTGAGTTCTCAATGGCACCACAGGAACAATTCGGGGATGGAATGATGTTTTTCGTAAACAAGTGTTCTTTTAGGGAGCTCCATGACATACGCAGTCTTGCGTGGTAGATTTGACCCAGACGTGAACCCTGAAAGTAGTATGAAGGTGGACATGATTTACTATTAGATTTCAGAAAGGCTTTTAAATGGGAAATGGAAGGGTTATTTCTAATATGTAATGGAAGAGAATTCCAATTGTTTACAGCAGAAGGAAGAAATGCATTTAGATAAATATTTGTTTTACAAAGATTATGTGTCAGACATGATGGGTCAGAAAGTCTGGTATTATAACTATGAACATCACTAACTGAATTAGGTTAGAGATTATACAGATACTCTGGAGTATTTTGATAAAACATTTTATGGAATTGTAACAATTTATGATTAAGTCTACGGTCTATTAATTTATTCCATCCAACTTCTGTATATAGTTTGTCTAAGCTTACAAGTTTAGTAGCACCTGAAACAATCCTAGCAGCTTCCAAGTTAACATTCTCTAGTTTAGAAATATATTCTTTGGGAATGCTATCCCAGACAGTATTAGCATATTCTACTAGGGGTCTAATAAACGAAAAATATATTTTGTAATGTTTGCCTGTCGAGTTTAAAATTTAGAGATCGCATAATATTTAATCTAGACGTTGCTTTCTGAATTATTTGTTTAACATGTTCAACCCAACTGCAATTATTCGAAAAAAGAACTCCAAGATGTTTATGCAACAGTACTTCTGATATTTCTTCATTGCACATATGTAAGATTGGATGTGGTTGATTGTTTCTTTTTGTGCTAAGGGTCATGCTTTCCGTTTTTTTAAGGATTGAAATCAACTAACCAAGATTTGGACCATTCAGTATTTTTTTCTAGATCTGACTCCATAATGTTGTTTGTTTCTAAGGGGTTTTCAACTATCATGTACAGAGTAGTATCATCAGCAAATAATTTGATAGAAGATTTGATATCGTTGACTATGTCATTAATATAGATTAAAAACAACAAAGGTCCAAGTATTGAACCCTGTGGAACTCCAGCCTTAACTCCTGCCCAATCAGAGTGAATATTATTGATTATAAGTCTTTGTTTTCTATTCGTTAAGTAGCTTTCGAACCATTTTAACAGTGATCCAGTTATTCCAATTTTTGATAATTTATACAACAGCCCTTTGTGCCAAACCCTATCAAATGCTTTGCTGATGTCACAAAATACTACTCTTATTTCTTTACCTGAATCTAATGCCTTAATAAAATCGTTGGAAATACTTAATAATTGGTTAATAGAGGAATCGCCTGGTGTAAAACCTGATTGATATTTTGTTATTACTTTCAAATCAAGAAGAAAATTATGAACATGTTTATAAACGCACCTCTCGAACACTTTACCAATTATACTTAAAAGTGAAATTGGTCGATAGTTTTTAACATCATTACGGCTATCTTTTTTATATATAGGTAAAACATTTGCTTCTTTCCACGATGATGGAAATATTCCTTGTGATAAGGATTTATTAAAAA